AGGCCGCCATGGTGGCTTCTGTGGTGGAGCTCATCAGTGCCTGCAGCCAGCAGGGCATGCAGGGGAGATCATCAGTCCCACAGGCAGCGGGGCCGGGCTGCACGCAGGGTCTGTACATCGTGCTGTGCGGGTCCGTGCCGCCTGCGGTGCTCGGTCACAGCCCCGGGGACTGTGAGGTTTGGGCAGTGCAGGCACTGCTGCGTGTGGTTCCTGGGGAAAACCACCCCAAGCTGAATTAAATGCTTCACTTACTTACGTTTTTCCCAGCTGAAAAACTGCAATGAGTTTCCCAATGGACTCCCACTTTGCACAGAAAAAGACAGAAACATTTTATTTGCAAAACACATAAGCAAAAGGCTTCAGTGTGGGCGTCAGGGTGGCCGTACGAAGGTGCACCCCCGCCTTGTGACCCCACAGAGAGGGAAATGTGCTCCCAACCCTGCGGACAGCGTCCCCAGCCCCAGTGCCTGGCCCAGCTCCCAGTGTCACCCTGTGGCAGTGCCATCTGAAGCCCACCACAGTGCTTTCGGGCCAGCCCCGACACCCAGAGCCACCCCAGAGCAGCTCAGCCCCACGGAAAAGCTGCGCTTGCTCATCGCCCTGCTGCTCCCCAGTGCCGGTGAGACCAGCGGCCTGGCTGGTATTTCCAGCACGGCCATTTCCAAAGCAGCAGCACGGTCCTGCCCGGGCACGTGAGGTCCTGTGTGTCACCGGTGCCAGGGGCATGCTCCGGCTGCTGCGCGCAGGGCCGACCCGGGCACAAGGTGTTGGGGTCGGGGGCGGCCCGGGAGCTGCTGGGGGAATGGCAGGGGCACCGGGACATGCCGGGCTGGTGACGAAGTGCCGATGCATCCATGGGACTGTGACGCTGCGCCAGGAAGCGCTGCCCTCTCCCCGCTTTGCCCAGCAAGCCCGGGAAGGCAGGGTGGCACTGCCAGGGCTGCGCCCGGCCACGCAAGGATGGGACGTTCCCAGCCAGCTCACACCTGAGTCAGGGCAGGCAGGGAGCGAGCGAAGACTCCCTCCGGAGCTCCCGGGAGGGCACGTGCTCTCCAGGCACGGGATCGGCTCGGGGGGCTGAGCCGCTGCAATCCCTCCTCGTCCTTCGGGGTCCATCGTCACAGTGCGTCGCCCGCCCTGAATCCTGCCCTGCTGCAGCCTCCAGCACCGCGGCTGCCTGCTTCGCCCTGCACAGCCAGGCCTGGCGCCCTGGG